TATGTCTCCCCATTGCCTTCTTGCCTGCATGGTTTCTGTTGAGAGATCTGAGCTCAATCTGATTTGCTTGCCTTTGTATGTTACATTTCTCTTTTCCCTAGCTGTTTTCAGGATTTTCTCCTTATCTTTGATTTTGGAGAGCTTGATTATTATATGTCTTGGTGGTTGTCTTTTACGGTCTATCCTTCCTAGGGTTCATTGAGCTTCTTGAATGTTTATCTTTTCAAGTTTCAGGATGTTAGGGAAGTTTTCTTCCAGCAGCTCTTCAACTATCTCCTCTGGGGACTTGTGTGATTCTTCCTGTTTGAGAATGCCAATAATTCTTAAGTTATTCTTCTTCATGTTGTCCAGCATGAATCTTAGGCCTTCTTCAGATTTTTTATTCTTTTTTGTATTTGTTCTTCTATCTTAGTAGTGTTGAGAGATTTATCTACTAGCTCACTAGTTCTGGCTTCTATCTCTTTCAGTGTATGTCCATTTCTGATATTCTATTATTAATTGTTTGGACCTCTTTCTGTAGATTTTGAATTGTTTCCAATGCTGTATCTATCTTATTTGATTGTTCTGTAGTGCTTTCCTGACTTCTTCCTTATTTTTCTCAACTCTATTGTATAGCATTTTGATATTTCTTATAATCATTGTTCTGAATTCCTTCTCAGGCATTTCCAAAGCCTACCCATCTTCCAGCATGGAGTGTAGGTCTACTTCCAGCTCATTTGCCTCAGTCACTTTATCTCGTTTCTGGACATGTGCTGATATGGTCATCTGCTTCTGATTTTGGGGCATATTCAAGGGTTATCTGTGGCCTTAATACTTAGATGGGTGTGTATTTTGTTATTTTTTATGCTTTCTGAATGCCTCCAGGTATATGTGATCAGGAAATGGGCTTCCCTTTTCACTCTTCTTCCTGAGAAATTTCAAGATGCCACTGTTGGTTGTTGTGATGTCACTCAGGATTTAATTTTCAACCTATTTCCTTTTTAGTCTGCCTGTCCCACTCCACAATGTCTGTTCAGATCTTTTTTCTAGTTATAAACAGTTCAGGGCCAGCTGTGGTAATTTGGTTTTAAGTGGAAACTGTCTCTTTCAATTTTACGGAGATCTGTGCATATGCATAGTAGAACACTCCGAGGATAGGGGTGGGGTGTCTACTCGCTCTAGTCACCAGAATGGAGGTGTGCAGACAGCGAGAGACCAATGAACAGATATATAAAAAAAATAATGTCCACATCTATATCTCTTTGGTTCTGTCAGGCGTCTGTGGCTGCTCTCATCCTTCCCCAGCTTGGTCTCACCCAGGATGGTGGCTCCGGGAGCAGCTGAACACTTTGAATTAGAAAGCAATGGATTTCTTGCTTCTGCTACAAATTACCCAAGCTGTAAGCCTTCCAACCTTCTACATATTCCTTTATATGTGGTTCAGAGTTCTGGCACCATCCCCTGAGCCTGCTTGGTCTGGTATTCTGTGTTGTTGCTGATGGCTCTCTTCAGCTGATGCATTTCTACCCTCTCACCATCTTGTTTATTCTCTGTACAATTCTTTAAGATTGAAAAGAAAAAAAAATGTCTAGGTTCTATTTGTTTTCCAGGTAAGGGAAATTTCACCATGCTAAATCCCTGTAAGTTCTATGGCCTAGTCAGGATCATTAAGTCCTCCTTAATACTTAAATTGGTAGGAAAAAAAATACTTTATTTTTTTTTTTTTTAAGTTTTTATTGTGGATTGAGTGAAAGGTTACAAGGCAGATCATCAGTATAAAGTTTACAGGGCATATCATCAGTTTTACATTCAACAAATCATACACCTTCTTTCATTACAATGATTATAATCCCCTCCATGTACCATCAGTTAATTGTATTTCACTCTATCCACTTTAGCTCCTTTAAAGAAAATACAAAAAAACACTCAGGCATATATAATTTACACTTCCAAAGGGCACATTCTGCAAGTCTGCCTCCTGGCCACCAGCTCTTAGTCCTTCTCTTCCCATGAATCTAGAGTCCTCAGCCACTCCCCGTCTCCATGACCCCATCTCTGCCTCTGTCTCTGGGGTCACTGCTTCTCAGGCTATGGGGCTTCCCTTTTTACTCTTCTTTCTGAGAAATTTCAAGATGCCACTGTTGGTCATTGTTGACATTAACTCAGGATTTAATTTTCAGCCTATTTCCTTTTCAGTCTGCCTGTCCCACTCCACAATCCCAATTCAGGCCTTTTTCCTAGTGATAAACAGTTCAGGGCCGGCTGTGGCTGTTTTGCACTGCCGTTTGGTTTTAAGTGGAAACTGTGACATTAAATTTCGAGATCTGTGCGCATGAGTAGTAGAAGCCTCCGGTGGTGGGGGTGGGATGTCCACTCGCTCAGG